GGTCAGCAACTGAATTCCAGAATTGATTTCTATTTAGTGATGACCATGTTGCAATAATATGTACATTGCATATATTTTTAACAAATCTACATATTAGTTGTTCTACTAGAAAGTTTTGCCATTTGATATAATAGTATGGATTGTAGATATTAGAGTAGTTGAGTATGAGGTATTGGAGATGTTCATGATTTTGTGCTGGTGAGTCAGCTTTGTTATTAAAAGTATTATTTCTATGTGCTTGAACTTTATTAATGTTAAGAGTAAAGTTAAATAATTTAATAAAGTTTAGTAGTGTATGCCAAATAGGCCAGTTGTTGAAGGAGAGAATATGCAATGGGTTGGAAGGTTTTTAGATTAACTTTTGGTATTTGCTAATAACTAATTAGGAGTCAGTAAATATGTTAATTTTGCAGTTACGTGGTACTGTACTAATTGCTGATAGTATAGCCAGGAGTTCTGCTTTGTATAAAGTTGGCCAGTAATTTATTTGTACTGCAAAGGAATGTATAATTGAGTTATTGTTTGTTTGTATCTAGCCAATACCTATGAAGCATTAGTTGGTCATTAAGTTGTGTACTGAGCTATCTGTATAGAATGTAATTTCTGTATAGTCTGAGTTTGAGATGGCTATTTGATTTAGTTTCTGAGAGATAAAAACAAGACCTCACCTTGACTACAAGGTCAAAATTTTAAAAAAAAAATAAAAATAAAACCTGCAAAAATAAATATTTTAAATCTTTTACCAACAGAGCTTATAATCTTTATATAATACATGTTAAGCTACTAATGATTTATTTTGAATGTAATATCATGATTCTAGCAAAAGCTAAATGAAAATTATAATTATTATTGCAGGTTTTGCTTTGCAGTACTCATTTCAACTTGGATTCAATCTTTAGTCATTAATATAAATGCAAGTTAGTTAACTAATATAAATATTTTTATTATTAATTCAAAGTGGTGAAACCGTCTATATAATTTTGTTCTAGTTTAATAAATAAATTATAAATAATAGTAAAAATTATGTGATATAATATATAATTATCAATACAGATAAAAGCGTGAACAGGACAAGTAAAAGTGAGATATAAATAGAAATCTAAAAGATATAATAAACAAATTGTAAGCTTTATAAGTAGATTAATAATCAAATAAGGAAAATTAATATGTATAATATTACAAATAATTGCGTAATATCTGTTTTTTATTTTTTTATTATATTATTAACAATATATTAAACATATAGTGTACAAATTTAAAAATCATAGGATTAAGTCATGATGATATATTATCCAATTAAATACCAAAGAGATATATTATTTCACTCACTAGTAAACTATCCTCTACATACTTTGTACTCTATTCCTAGTACAGTATATAGATATATATCTATTTTAAAACTAAATATTGATATACAATTTATATGGAATATCTAAAGAATTAGTATATATATATATATATATGCCTGAATTATAGATGTTAGATGAATTTATTTCTAAAAATAGTACTAGCAAACTAGTTAAATCACTGATAAAACTAAAATAATTGTAAAATATTAAAATTTAGTAAAACTCTATCTCATAAAAAGTATCAGTTCTGTGATCTTTAAGTCATTCAGAATTGAATTTGAACTATTCAAATAATGGTAAACTTTTTTTCTCTGACTTTGAGACTACAGAGCAATAATTTTAACATAAACCAAGCTTCATAAAAGAAATTCACAATAACAATATAAAAAATTAAAAAAATTTTTTTACAGTATCTAAAAGTAATATGCAGACAATTAATAAGATATATACTTTGCATATATTAGTGCTTTTAAAGCTATCTATATTTTAATTAGATTATATTAGTAACTATAACAATAAATAATTAATCAATTAAAAAAAGTCTTGATCTTTATATCACAATATAATAATCTATAACTAGAGATGTTACCCAAACTATTTCAGTATTGTTTTGATACTTACAGTTATTTTTAGTTAGGATTCAGGCTTTTGTCAAAATCTAAATGTAATCACAAATCCCAAATTCTGATGATGAAATTTTTGCTGATATTTTTAATTAATATAATAAATAATGATGTATAGTATAACAATTTTTTTAATAATGTTCTTAAAAATATAATAATATATTTTGATTATTTATTAATTCTTTTTTGATTACTATAATATAAATTAAGCTTAGCAAATATGAACTCAGTTTATGCTAACATAGTAATAAATAAATTATATTATTTTTTCAAAAAAGAATGCTGCAAATAATAAATATAAAAAATTGATGCTTTTTAATAATAGAAATTAATACTTGTTAATTTTAATTAACATTAATTAAACCTTATGTATTACTGTAATATATTATTGTTATATTATTATAGTTTGAGATTTTATTTCAGCAAAGTCTCAAACTAGTTTCAGCTATTTGGATTTAGCTATGTATCAAAACTATCGAGTTTGGGTAACATTTTTACTTGTAACTTTCTTCATCCCTTTCTCATAGATGTATTTGCAAAGCTAGCTAATCTGATTTTATAAAGGATATATTTGTTTGAATAGCCATCATTTTATAATAAGAAGAATTTTTATTTGATACAATTTGTTTTATTGCAATATTTAAAAAAAATTATATGCTTTGCAGCTCAAATTTTGTTGCTAAATTTTAGACACCTATAATATGAGTGCTAGCAAAAGAAAACCTGTTATCAGATCTTCAATTATATTTTATACCAAACATATTTACTAATAAATCAAATAGATTGAGTTTGGTAAAAAAATATGATTGAAAGCCTGATGCAGGTTTTCTATTAATAGCACTTATATAATAATTTATTAAATAAATAAATAAATTACAATTTTTCTAATCTTAGGTTTATATTGACAACTGGAACACCAATAGTAAAGATAGCTAATTTCAAATTCTACTTATTCAGGAAACTAGCAATTAGCTGATTTGGTGAGTTTAGTTGATTTTTTGGGTAATTAGATTCATATTTGTCTTTTCTTAGCACTTTACTACCAAATTCTTTCTTTCCTTTACTACAATGACCAATTCAGTACATTAAACAGGTCAAAAACTATGAATGAGATAATTTATATTCTATACTATATTCACAGTATTACTACAGTATGTTGGGTCAAAACTAGATAACAATCATGAAATCATATGCAAAGAAAGTCGAGTCTCACAATGCTCAAGAATAAGGCAAGTAAAGTAGCAGTTTATTTAACTATATCATTATAGGGTAGTAATTAACATAACACAAGTTTCTGAAAGTTACTTTCTGAAAGAACATAATTCCAACAAAGTTAGCTAACATTAACTATAATATCAGCTAATTTAGTTGATATTATATTCTTTCAGAAAAATAGCTTTCAAAAAATTGTACCATAATCTGTTTTCAAAGAAATTTCTTGTCTTGAAAATATCCTGTTGAAGAAATATATAATAAACTTATTGTCAAAGAAAAAGCTATCAGTAATATTTCTTGTCAGAAAAACAAGATTTCTGGAAAAAGGGCTTGTCAGTAAAAAAGCCTGCTACCATGCATCATTTCAAGAAATCAAATTGTCAAAAAATTAGTTTGATTAGAAAAAAAACATTCAGTGAAAACTTCTTTAGATAAAATAGGTTGTCAGAAAAATATCATATCAAAAAATAAGGATATCAGTATTATGGGTTTAGTGAAATAGGATTTCAGGAAAGTGGGTTTCAAAAAAGTGAGCAGCAATGCATTCGTACATGTGATAATTAACCAATAAAATTTAAATTTTACATTTTTTATCGTTATTAGTAAAGCTTTCAAACGATTTTTTCTTTATTCAATATCCTTTGTGCTTTAAAATTTCTTATATTCCATATAATGAAGTGTCACTATTCTGAAACATTGCAGTTCTTGTCTTTTAAAAGCCTATTCAACTATTTTTAATCACCCTCTAATATAATATTAATATTATAATATGTATATAGATCTCCGTTCCTTTAATATTATTTAGATAACCTATTACAACTATTAGCATCGCTTATTTGTACTCCTATATATTGAAAATTGTAATTAATAAAGATTTATTTCAATATATTCGTTGAATAATAAAAAAGTACAGCAGTAAAGAAGTGCAGAACCACGCGATTTCGTAATAAACAATGTGTTTATTACTTCATTAATATTTTTCTAAGTTGGAAAACTGTCTCTAAGTGAAGTATACCTAGACAAGACGAATCCCAGAGATACACAAGATACTTAAAGTTTCGTTTGTGAAGTGTCTTCTGTATAATTATGAACGACGGTTACATTTTTTTTAAAAAAAAATTTACTATGTTAAGACGTAAAAGTATTCTAAACTGTATAAATTCAACTGCATGAAATTAACCAATCACGAGAAAGTCCTCCTATATAATCTCATAATCCGCGACAATTTTTTAGTAATTTGTACGTATCTAAAATAAACAAAAATTTAGGGTTCACAAACATTAAATCGTCATTTTCTCAAAATGGAAACTACCCTTCAAAAAGCGGGTTTTCCTAGTCCATTGCCCATTTAGGCTGGTTAAAAGATGAGATAATCTACCGAAAAAGTATTGTAAAACGTATTAAAAAAAAACTTTAATAAATTGCGTAACGATCTACAACCTCGAGCACGTGGTCTTCGCGCTCACCCACAAAGTTTTTCCGGCGCGTGCTTGTTTTGTGGCACAAACCAAGATCAGGTGTAATGTAAAAATTAAAACAATTAATAGAGCGAAAGTTTTAAATAATCCCAATCGTCTTATTTCATTTGTTTTAACTCCAATTCTACTCCGGAGCTATTATAATCTTCCTTATCGGATTCGAGATTGTTAACGATTTCCAGAAGGTTAGTAAACTATCTCTTCTTCGTTTTTATTTAATTGACTCTTTTCTTCTTTTATTTTGTAAGATTCGGGTTGATCATAAGTGGGCTTTTTTTTCGACATGGCTTTGGAGAGTAGACTTCTGGGACATTGAACCTTCGGGTGGAACTTTTCTAGGAAAGGGCTGGATCGGAAATTCGTGGTGAGTTACTTTCACCTTTCTTGTTTCTTTTTGCTTCTCGTTTCAAGTTTTCTTTGGCGTAGTTAAGACTACTTCGCGAGTTTTTGTCTTCTTTTGTTGGACCAGGTTTTCCTCTTACAACGGATAGTGCAAAAGTGGAAACAGGACTTCAAGGTATGTGTACTTGTTTTCGGTCCTCTCTATATGAAAACCTTTTGTACGGAGGAATATTGCCAAAGATTCAACGGGTCACTTTGCCTGGACACCTTGTGGATTTCGGTTCGGTCGTTCGTTCATTGTGGCTTTTGGACTGTGGATTCACACAGACCTTGTGGGTAATTTGCATTTTTGATCGGCATGACGATTATATAAAAATGCAGATTATCCTGAATTTCATTTATTGAGGTTCGACAAGGATCCTGTGGTTTGGGTTTTCCGATATTACTTTGTTATAAGGGAATTCATATATAGAGAGTAAATACTTAGTGTTTTATGGTTTGGGATCAAGCTAGAACTAACTAACTTTTCTTTTTTTTGTTTTTCTAATACAGTAATATGAATAACAAATAAATAAAACTTTTTTGGGATCGGCGGAATTTAAATTTAGTTGATTAAGGAATTCTAATTAAAACGGGTGAGTTGCCTTTATAAGAATTATATCTTAAAGCAAATATTTTATTAACTCCTATTTTTAGTTTTTCGGAAAAAATAGGCCTCTAATATCTTCAAGAAACTTCGTCCGTTGTGCAAGAGAAGTAGCTTCTGAAGTTGGATAGTGTCGAGGACCAAATACACCAACAACAAACCAACTAAAAAAGACGGCGACAACATAACACGAAGTGAGGGCGAGACAAAATATTATTTGGCGTGGTCAAGACTACTTCAGGTACATTGCGCAAAGCAATTTCTATAATTTTTACTGGTTTTATGACTTTAATTAATGAACGGCTTTCTTTATTAATTTTTATTTTATTATAAGGAACGAATATACTAACAACTATTTATTTCTTTACTAATTATCAGAATTATTTTTTTTGTAAGGTAAATAACGTTCCTTTTTATAAATCATCGGGGGGTAAGCACAATGATTATTATTTTTATTATTATCATTATAATAATTAGCATTACTTTACTAATTTATTTTTTTAATTCTGTAGGTTAAGTTCTGTTATTATTTTTATTATTTTTATCACTTTCGTTTCTAACACATAGGCCGAAATATGATTGTCAGAAGTCTATTATCATGGATTCAAAGAAAAGGTTGTTTAAGTATTATCGTTAACTATTATATTTAATTTACAATCTGTAAGATATTATAAATAACAACTTATATATTAATTTAAGGATTTTATTGGTAACGAGGAAAATATTGACGATATTGTTGAGTAACAATAGTGTAAATATTTTACAAGATAATTCTACATACGAACAGAAAAAGAAAATTGGGTGCGTACACTTAATTTTGATATACTGTATCAAATTTATGTTAATTCTTCTATTTGACCATAATTCGCGAATACTTGTTTAATTTGTTTTCGGCCATCTTTCTTAATCAATCAATCATAATCTTTTTTTTCCTAAATATAAATGTCCAGGATTAAACTGCGGATTATGCGGAAAGTGTATTAATTATATATTTATGTATTTTATGTATTTGAAAAAATTGGTACACAGTGATCTTTACCTAAAGTGGATCATTATTTCATCAGATTCTTCAATTTAATTTAGAAGTTTCTATTCGGATTCTCTAATGAAATT